AGAGATAAAGAAGGTTACTATTTTTAGTCATGTGATAGTTGTGTCTACAGACCCGGAACGACGTTGGGGCAAATAAGTCGGACCGACGTAGTAATGTAATACGAAGGGTGCACCGCGGTCGGAAATGGTGCGCGCTTTAAGACTTGGTTGTCCTCTTGGTCCAAATAAGTAATGAAACAGTAAAAATTTATAGACACTTCGTCGGAGTACGGTTAAATATCTGGAGTTTCCCAACTACGCCATTTTTATATCATCCATATTTGCAACTCGAGTAATGATCATCACGAATATTCAGTTTTACCCATTGAATGTTTAAAATAAAGTTAAAAATTATGACTCGTAGTTTTTAGTTAATTCTTAAAGATGTTTTGGTGCATTTTCACATTAATATCTGCACAAAAAAAATATGTTTATTTTTTTTTTCTTCCTAAAAAAATTGTTAATTAAAATATTTCTTAGGGCGCATTAATTTTTTTCGATCCACCTCGGTCACATTTATCAGTAAAGTGACCTGTGTTTGTATTTTTCAAGAATCTCTCTGCGGTACAATTCCATTCTTAACGAAAATAATATCTATAAATTAGTTAGTGTAAGCGACATGATTGTTTCGTTTGTATGGATGATTGTGTTTGATGCCATGATGCCATCTGTTGGTTAAAATATATTCGTACTCTATGATTACACAATGTTAATCAAGAGGGCGCTAATCACTAGCGGCCAGTGTTAGAAAGGTCGTCCCGAGTATATTGTTTTGGAACAAGACGACGTCGGGAGAGTCGTCCAAACCGACGTTGAATTTAGTAAGGAATTCTTTCTTAATCCGACGTCGCGTCCGACGTCGTACCAACCAGGATTTTTATTCCCCATTTTGGTGCAGATTCAAGTAAATACGTGGTCGCGCAGACGTTGTGTACCGACGTCGGGTTGTTATAAGCGACGTTGGCCGGACGTCCAAATGCTATTTGGGTAGGTACTACAAAAACAATAAATGTTCAGCTATGCCATTACGGACGCACACTTCCAACTAAATTTTGCAACCAATCGCTATTTATAGTTGGCTCGCGTGCGTAAGCAGCCGTGAGATGTATCGCTTATGCCGCGGCAGGCCGTATTCCAGCCGTAAACGGGCCAGCTAGGGCAAGCCGAAGGATTTTGCACTGGCATGCAGTATTCTGGCCGACTTCGGTTAGAACATGGCTAAACGGTACCGGGGTAACATAACGCGGGCGGGGGTGGGGCAAGCCGAACCGCCGGTCAACTGCCTATGCCGAGCGAAGGCTGACTGTTTGCCGATCGTTTGGTGCTTACTGGGACATCTCGCTCGTGTAACCACTTCAGCTAGGTATATAAACAAAGTTAAGACAGCGCACCATGTCCATTTGTCATTGGACCTCAAACAGTCTGCCTGATTATGGGAAAGTCAGAATACGATATTATGTATCATTTGATACGCTTTAGCGTTAAACTGACGGTACTTTCTCATGTCGAGCATAATAACGTTGCAACGTAACAATGTTACATAACCGTAAAGTTATGTAACATAACTTGGATTGCGAAAATGTAACGGCAACGTTACATTGTTACCTATTTGCAACCATCAGGTTATGTAAGTGTAATGTTACTTATTACGATTGTTGCATAACATTTTGGTTAATGTTACGTAACAGCTTTTGTTTCACTTTCATAACTTTCATAAATGTAACCTTATGTTCTGTGGTAACGTTGTAATACATTAAAAAGTTATATAATGCATTTATGTAACGACAACGTAAAAATGTTACTTAAAAAAGCGTTAAATAGGATTCTATTTGCAACCGTCAGGTCGAGGGGTAAACCGCTACAAAAATTTGTACACCACAATTCCTTTCATAAAAACATTCCTGCAATTCCTCTGTAAATTCCCGCAATTCACCTGTAAATTCATGCAATTCCTCTGTAAATTCCCATAATTCTCACAATTTCTTAGTAAATTCCCCCAATTTCTTGATAATTCCCACAATTCCCTAGAGCTACCTGCAATTTCCCGAAAATTCCTAGAATTTCTTCAAAATTTCCAATTTGTTTTTTGAGACATTAAGTTTTAATAACCTACCAAAAATAAAGCGCGTACTATTTAATTATTGGAAATACCTTCGGAACTAACTCTTCTTTAAAAAAATTGGCTGAGGTAGGTATTAATTAATAAAGTACATAACTTGAAGGTACTACATCAGGTATATTTGAAAATGTTACAAACCAAAACATACATTCTGAGACAGACCTATATAAACTAAGAGGTTTGTCTTTTATTATTACAAGGACTGAGCACAATTCCGCGCCTTAATAATTTAATATAAAAAAATAGGTAGACGCATTAACTTTATAATATAATTATAAAAAGCTTAAAAAATGCTTGTATATACAGTATTGTGCGAATTAATGTGAACACAAATAGATTTACGTTAAATATTATTTATTGAAAAATTTATATATAAACAGTACAAGTTTATAAATATTTTATTAATATTTAATAGAGAATATGTCCCCCTTTTGGCCCTTATTAAAGCTTCAACTAGTTTTGGCATAGAATAAATCAATTTTTTACAGCTTTTCCTTTATTTTGTCATCTCGAAACCATACCTGAATGGCAGCCTCATTTTAGTTTTTTTTGTACAATCCGTTTTAAGCAATCTGGCCTTGCATATAGTCCACAAATTCATTTCCGGTGACTTTCCAGGCTAGTCAGAAAGGGTTACCTTTTTGTCCTTGTGTAACTTAGTCACAATAACCGGCAAAATGACTGACATTAGCAATAACTTAATGCAGAATTAAAGGTTATAGGATATTTCAAAAGAAATATAACAGTATAAAATTTGTGTAAAAAATATTTTTTTTTAACATACCAGAAACGCGTTTCAAGTGGCAGGTTATTAGTGTGTAGTGACCGTCCCAGCACGCTACGTAATATTTGAATAACACAAAAACAACACCCCAACCAGTTCCCCAACCCTTTCTCTAAGACATAAACTTTAAGGCGTGGGAGGGCCCTGTAAGGGAACTATTTCCCGGGCCCTAAAATCATTCCAGCACGCGCCTGATCATGTACTGCTGGTTTATTACAATTATTTTAACAATAAAATTTCATAAATACCTTAAAACATAGGGCCAAATTTACCGAATGCAGACACTGCTTAGCAGTGACTGCTATCTAATATAACTTAAGTAGTTATTAACTACTGATTAATTTCATCTAAAATAAATTTATATCCTTGGCATAAAAACAAAAGCGAATTTGCTTTCGGCACGCGCCTAAAGAGCGGCATGCTTTGAGCGCGCCACGCCTTTGTCTTTTGTCCGCTTTACACCGCGTTATTAAAAATAAGCCACATTATAATAAAATAATAAAAACAGTAGAATATTCGCTACTTTACCGTACTCATAATTGTTTATTTGATTTATTTTTGGTAGAAAACCATTTGGTAATTTTTTTTATTTTTTTTAAGTAATTTTGTGCTAGAATATCGTTTATTTTATTGTATCAAGTTAATTTGACAATAAAAAAGCCATTTTTTCTAAAATTAAGTATTTTCGAGAGAAAAAAAATTTCTCCACCGAGAATTGAACCCGGACCTGCTGCGTGGGACGCCGGTAACCCAAACACCCGACCAATCCGTGTCTAACAATAGATAAGCAAATTAAATAATTAAGGTAAAGAATTCTTCCAAGTACGTTAACGTACGAAATTTTTTATTACTCTTATTTTACACACTTTTATTGCAGCAGGGCAGTGTGATCCCAGAAGTACGGTTCTTTTGTTTTTCAAAACGAAAAAATATAGACTCGCGCCGTTTTCACCAAATTATTTGCCATCAAGAAATCATCATCAGTCATATACTTTGTGTCGCTTAAATTACCTTTTCCGACTCGAAATGGGAACAACTGTTTTAAACCTTTGGATAACGTTTTTTATTGTTCTAATTGACGGAATAGAACTATCCGGATATTTAACTGAGAATAGGTCTCTTGTTTGACGTAGAGAATTGCCCACTAAAGACCAGCTTATCATGTCAATTTTCTCTTGCAATGTGTAAGACATTATAACTTATAATTTTAAATAAAAGAAATTAATTTATGTTAAAACGCTCGAAATACACTAGAAAATGCAAAACAAAACTGAATTCTCGCCTAAGCCGGCAATCTGCTTACAATGCATCTGGGGAGGGGCGATCGGATTCACTCGGATTCATTCGTATAGCTCTTTCTCCTTCTCTCTACGTTCCCAGTAAGCACCAAACAGTCGGCCTTCGCTCGGCATAGGCGGCTGACCGGCGGTTCTGCTTGCCCCAGCCGGCCCGCTTACGGCCCGCGTTATGTTACCCCGGTACCGTTTAGCAATGTTCTAACCGAAGTCGGCCAGAATAAGGCATGCCGCTGCCAAATCCTTCGGTTTACCCTAGCCGGCTCGCTTACGGCTGGAATACGGCCTGCCGGGGCAAAAGCGATACATCTCACGGCTGCTTACGCACGCGAGCTAACTATAAATAGCGATTGGTCCCCATCTCCATCCTCATCTGCTCATTAACGAATAATGTCTAGCTAGTCGAGTGTGTTAAAGAAGTATCTTGCCATTCATTATAGGATATACCTCTCCAGGACGTCTGTAGGTTTTTTTTGAATGGCACTCGGCCAACTATACACAGCCGACACTCGGCCGAGTAAATATAGCCGACATTCGGCTAGGCGGATATGCCCGACAGTTGGCCAGGCGGACATGCTCGTTCTACACGCTGTGTGTCGGGCCGCACGCGGCCGATTCGGCAAAACGTATTCGGGCCGTATGCGGGCCGGCTAGCTTGTGCTTACTGGGTTATATCTTTTTTCTCTCTCGTGTAACGAAATCTCGTTACATTTTTTCAAATTCACTCTCCATTCTCGTCAAATATCAGAACGCCACCAAAGAAGTTTCACTTCATCATAAAGATAAAAATGCTTCTTATTTATATGAATAATTTATTTTCGTAAAAAACAACAAATTGTTCACATATCTAGTTGTTGTATTAATGGAAGCACCTCATCTTTGTATAATGAACTAGTATATCCATGTGTTATTCTTAATATCTGATTAGCCTTTTTTAGGTGATACTCAGCAAGTTTCAAATCATTCTGATAGAGATAAATTTTCCCCAATTTTAAATGTAACAACCCAGTCAGTGGGTGAATATGTCCATAGTATTTACTAAAAAAATGCAAATTAAATAAAAATCATCACACAAACATAAAAACCTACTAAAAACTATCTATCAATTCCAATCCAAAAACTTTTGCATCTTCAAATAAATGAAAATCTATGCTACTTTCAAATGCCAAGTCCAGAATTTTAACGTGCTTTAAGTTATGTCTGTAGACGACTCCTTCGTGTTGTTTTAAACACACTTTACAGACATCCAAATCTAGTTTAATTAAGAAAAACTAATTAAATTAATATTCAACTATTTATAGTGACTACCTACTATTAAACATTTTATTTATTAATATTAATCAAAATTTACGATATAAAAATACCTATAAATTAAGGATATTTGGAAGTAAAGTTTTTTAGGATGGATAAGTATAAATGTTGGTAGGTAGGTAATGAAAAAGGAATAAGACTGATTATATAATGGATTGGAAGAAATAATACAAATTAATATACCTAGACTAAGGGGTTCTCAATAACTATTTTGCTATCTATAGATATTATATATAACATAGTTTAAAATAAATAAATAAATAAATATTTACAAGGATACAAGTAATATTTTTCATACTTTCAATTTGGTCTTTGGTAAAGCTAATAACCTTGTGAAACTTATTAAGAAATTCTTCAGTCACAACTTCTCCACATTTTTTGCATTTATCTCCTGGCAAAACAAAATTCACATCTATATAATTATCACATTTAGTGTCTGGACATGCAGCTGCAGTCATTTCGCCCATTGGTTCAGGTCCTAAGCATTTTGAGCATTGACATAGAAAATAGTAAGTTAATTCCAGTTGTTCTTGTCTTTCTTTTGTAGTGCCCAGAATGTCAATATAACTTATAAACAACTAAAAAATGTTTATAAAACATGATATGGTGGAATTATGCAGCACAAATTAACATCTTAATAACATATAACATTAAAATTAAGCATAAATACGCTTCTATTAATGTTAAATTAATCTTAATCTTAATTTGTGCTGCATAATTCCACCAATATTGTTGAAAATTCCACACCTGTAATTTTTAACCAATCAAAACATGTATTTTTGATAGATCACCATGGCAACGGTTGAATTTTAGTGGAAATTTTTTCCTCGTGGGTACCCAACAGCGAATTATACTGGAAATTTTTTGACGTTTATAATGACAGAATATTTGTTTGACAATCTGGTTTTTATTTGTTTACATGATAATTTTGATACATTTCCATTACAAAGTTTAGATGTTTTCTATATTCGTTGGACACCTCCTTTCTTCTTAATGGCGAAAATACAGGACTTGAAATAAATTAAATGTCTATGTCTAATGAAATATATATAATATTTAGACACTATTCTATTCACCTTTTTTCCATTTAGCACTTTGAGTTTTGAATAGTTCAGATGCAAATATTCGTGAACAATTCAAAACAAATTTTCTTTCTTCAAGTAGGAGCCACAATCCTCTAATAATGCGGGTAAATAAGTCATTGCACGATGATTGATCATTACAGCAGACAATTTCACATTTTTTTACATCGTGCCGCTTGACAGCTTCAAAACTGAAATAACTTTTAGGTTGGGGTTGACTTAGTTGCCATGGTAACTAAATAATCAAGTCAAGGTCAAGTTAAATCAAAAAATAAATTTTAATTATTTAAACACAATTTGGTGTGGAATTTTCTTACCGAATACCACACGAGGTCAAATTAAATCCGGAAATTTTTTCTCCCTCATGAATATTTTTAGAAAATTATCCCTCGTCTTCGACTCGGGATAATTTTCAAAATATTCATGAGCTCGAAAAAATTTCCGGAAATAATTTGACCTCTAGTGGTATTACTAGTGATAATTTAATAATACCCCTACCAACAATGACGATACAAATAATGAAAAAAATGACAAAACACTTAAACGTATAACAGAATTAAAAAAAAAATTCCGAGCTATGCTTCTTATAAGAATTGAATAAAATAATTGCATTGTGATATATCGATGACTTTTTGCCAAAGTATCGCAGGCAACATAACTCAAATTTCGAGAAGTTTTTTAATATTACGGACGCAAAAAAATTGCCGAGTAACTGGAATTGCTTTATAGCAACTGTTAACTACTTAATCACAGAATAGAGGAAGGCAGAAGTCGCACACCTTGTCGGCGCCTTTGAAATCGTGTGGTTAAAATTTTACTCGCGCAAGCAGTTTCTGGAATCTTTCATAAAAATAAATTCAAATTATATTAAAACTACAATTGGTGTAGCGGAAATATCTGCAGTCATCACTCAAGGAAACGCTGGTTCAAATCTTGCCGGGAAGTTTTTTTTTAATAAAAAAATACTATTTTGTATTATAATAATCGTGATTATTATTGAAAAAATTATTATAACTATAATTATTATTGGAAAAATTATAAAAAAGTACTTGAAAAATTATAAGGAAATAATTTATAAATATTATTTAGTATTATCAAAAAAAAAAAAATGGTGAGTAGGTACTTAAAAAATTATAAGAAATATATATAATTAGAATGATTTAATTAAACACAATAATTTGTAGGATTAAAATTTTTTTATACTTTGAAATTCGCAAATAGAGGTTTTCAAGAACCGAGGGTCAAAAATAATTAAAAAAATCAAAAGCTAGTTAATATCAAACATTTATAATTTCATTATTATTTTTGACTCCTAACTTGGTTATATTATTATTACATACATTTTTTTAAATTAGTCTCGCATATTAGATAATTAAAATTCTATTCTAGATACGAGGGTGGTTTGATAAGTCAGTGACTTTTTGAAGAAAAGCTCGATACATTTAGTCCAGCGTTTTTTCCAATTTTTTTATTTCATCCAAATAATACGTTTTCTCAAGGCCCTCAAAATAAGCGTTTGTTTCAATGATGACCTCTTCATTCGATCCAAATCTCTTACCACTCAACCATTTCTTCAGGTTTGGAAACAGGAAATAGTCACAGGGGTCTAAATCTGGAGAATATGCTGGATGGGGTAGCAGTTCATAGCCCAATTGATGAATTTTTGCCATGGCGATTACACACGTGTACACCCGTGCATTATCTTGATGAAACAGCACTTTTTTCTTCGCCAAATGCGGTCGCTTCTGCTTCAAATCGATGTCGAATCTGTCCAAAAGCTCTGAATAATATTCGCCGGTGATCGTTTTATCCTTTTCAAGGTACACAGCTTGCTAAAAATTTTCCAGTAGCCTATTCATAGAGGGCAGTTGACAGGAGGCAGATATTTTTTCCTTAACCATCGTCCCGAGTCCGCCCGCTTGCCGAGTCCCGCTCGCTGCTTTACCGAGTCATCTCGCGCTTGCGAATTCAGTGACTATAGAATTTTTACAATAAGCTCGGTAGCTCGATGGAAGGGTGCCTGCTTTGCATGCGAGAGATACTTGGCGCCTCTACAACTTTTTTTAATTTTTTTGGGGCGGGGTCGGTTGGGTTGGGTTGTTGGGTTTGGGTTGGTTTCGAAGCTTCGCAATTTTTCTGTACCTAGGTAAAGCAGCGGGACTCGGCAAGCGGGCGGACTCGGGACGTTGGTTAAGGAAAAAATATCTGCTGACAGGAGCAGTGTTGCATTTTAAGTTACTGCGCGGGAAATTTAAAAAGTCACTGACTTATCAAACCAACCTGGTATCTATGTAGGTAAAAACATTTCTAATCATTAATTTTGTTTAATTTTATTTAATCCTCAATTCTTAAATTATTGTGAATTGTGTAAATCGATTTGTTAATTTATTTTTAATTATTTTATTAAAATTTTTCAAGTACCAACTATTTTTTTTCATAAAAATAAAATAGTACCTATTTTTTAAATTATTTTCGTATAATCTTTTAAGAACTGGTTTATAACTTTTAGTAAAAATATTTATTATAATTATTTGTTCATAATAACTATGTATAATAATATTACAAAATGGTATTTTTTTTATAAAAAAAAGTTTTCACGGGGTAAGATTTGAACCAGCGTTCTTTTGGGTATAAGATGCAGGCATTTCCGCTACACCAATTATCCTTTTCAAATAAGTTAAATATATTTATATAAAAGATGCCACAGACGATAGTTGATTGACCTACTTCAAACTGCGTGCGCGAGACGGCTGCGCTAGGTCAACTTAGCGACACGAAATCTGGGAAGTGCGACTTCTGCCTTCCTCTATTCTGTGACTTAATATCGTTGAGTAATCAATGCTAATATCGAAAATAGCAGCTAATGGCAGAATGGAATAGAATTTATTAAGAAACCTTTCGAAATTTTACATTTCATTACAGGCTTATCCTCTAAATATTTTACATTAACATTTTTAACATTAAACATTTTTACACTTATCACAAGAATCACATTTTTTCAGTCTCAACATTTTTAACTTAAGTACTAAGTTGATTTACATAACATTATTAACATATTTAGAACAAAAAATAGAATTTTAATATAATAGAATTTTATCACAGAAGTTTTACATTTAAAACATTGGTCAGGTGGACAGATTTATCACATAAATTGTACATTAGTCAGGTGGACTTTTAACAGTCTTTTAAAGTTTTTTTGGTTTTGTTTTTTAATATTCTCTGGCACACTGTTATAAACTGATACTCCTCTGTGATATATAGAATTTTTTCCTTGTGAGGAGGAATACCTAATAGATTCAACATCTGCCCGGTGCCTTGTATGATGGTTATGAACATCGGATCTATATGCAAAGGTTATATTTGAGTGGCGTAGTTTATTCAATATTTGGTAGACATACAAAGATATTTGGTAATTGTATATGTTATCAACAGAGAGGATATTATAGTTTTTATATAGATCTTTTGTACAATATCTTAATGGGAGGTTATAAATGTTTTTTATAGCTTTGTTTTGTAGTATTTTGATTGGTTTAATAAGATATTGCTTTGCAGTACACCATACAGATGTCAAATATTGTATATGAGTGCACCAGCGAAAAATACACCGAACGCAACAGGAATCCCGGACCGGGATTCCCGGTAGATATTGATTTACTTTTTTTAAGATTCCAATTGGTGGAGCTATTTTCTTTCTTAGTATGCTCAAGTGAGCTTCCCATGATAGGGTTTCATCAATATACAGGCCAAGGTATTTAATTACCTTTGAGTATTCTAGTGTGTTGTCACCCAGGGCTATGGCAACACCATTCCATTGAAGTCTTTGTTTAGCTATAAACATGTAGGATGATTTTTTTATGTTAAGTGAGAGTTTATGAGAGATAAGCCATTTTAAAATTATGTCTAGATCATGTTGAATATTATGAATCAATTCTTCTTTAGATTTACTTGAATAAACTATAGTTGTGTCGTCTGCATATAATTTAAGCTTACCTCTCAGCTTTAAGTTTGCAATGGAATTAATGTAAACCAGGAATAATACTGGTCCCAGGATTGAGCCCTGAGGGACGCCACAGGTTACTGTTCTTTCACTGCTGTTGACATACATTTTTGATAAATCACCCTGGGAGGGTAGTGACACAAACTGTTTTCTAATCAAATAACTCTCGAACCATTCCAGAGTCGTGCCTCGAATGCCCAGTAGTTTTAGTTTTTTTAATAATATGGAAGTTTTTACTGTGTCAAAAGCCTTTCGCAGATCGAGTGACACTAGCGCAGTTTTTGTCAATATTAATTTGAAGATCTGATATAAGATCAACTGTAGCTCCCACTGTGTCACTCGATTCGCGAAAGCCATACTGGTGTTTGTAGAAGAAGTCAATTTTTTTTAGGTATGTCAATAATCTATTATTTACAATGCGTTCAATAATTTTTGATAAGCATGGCAATATAGAGATTGGACGATAGTTATTCATCAAGCTTGTGTCACCATCCTTGAA